CCCCCCCCCCAGTCCGCTTCCCGGATGGAGGCCGCGCGGCTCCGCCCTCTTCGCAAGGCGGCCGGCCGGCCGGACCCGTTCGTCAGAACCTCCTCACTTCCTTTTGGCTTTTTATTTACGAAAGAAGGTGTGACCAATTGCGTTTCCTTGTACAATCATTTGCATGTATGACATCACCCGGCCCGGCAATGAATTCCTTTCCAGTATTTGGCGACACCATCTGTCCTCCCGTGTGATCTGTGAAAAAAAACAAACAAAAGATCCATTTCAAGGCGACAAAACGCAACTTTTCAGCGTGTGCCAGAATCGCTGTCAATCAATGAATCAATCGGGAAACGCAAGCGAGCTCCTTGTCGGCGGGTCTCGCTCGCGGGCCGGGATACTCGAAGATGGCGGCCGAGTTCGAAAGCCAACTTCCCAACCCTTCCCTTCGTATTTTTGAAAAACCGAACCCTGGTTTACGACGCACCAGCCACTGGACATGACGCGCACACACACACGGCACACCCCCCCCCCCCTCGGCCCCCCCCCCCCCCCCCGTGACGACTGCTACCCGAGAGCTCGCTTTGGTATTTGACGTTTCAGAAATAGGTTTTAAATGTTTTTATTTGGACCGAATTATGTTCACGCAGTTGAGCTTTTTTGGGTTCATTTTGACAGCAGTGCTTTAGCGCCATCTGGTGGCACGGATGAGCAATTGCAAAGCTTTGAGGCGTTGAGTTTCTGACTTTGGCTGACTCGGGCGGGCGCCTCCTCCGCCCATCTCACCGGAGTTCCGAGGCCACAAAGCGGTGCCAAAGTCCCACTCGGTGGCTTTGGCCTGACCACAAAAAAAGTCAAATGCCGCGTTTTTCGGCCAAACGGGACTCGCCCCCGTCCCCCAAAAAAGAAAGACGGCTCATCGGTTGACAAGGCATTTCGATTTGGATGGGAAGCGGCAAAGCGTCGCCAAGCGCGCCTTTTCTTTTGCCGATAAACGACAGCCGAAAAACACACACACACACACACACACACACACGTGCGAAGAATGCTTTTATTTTGACAAAGTAAGGCCACTGCCGCCGTTGCGCACATTCAACAAAGCGGTGACGAAAAAAAAAAGACGAGAAGAAAAAAATTCGGGACTGACAAAATCGGTCCCCGCTTTGGGTCCGTTTTTTTGCGTCTCGGGGTCATTTTTTAAGGCGAGGGGGAGAGTCCGTCTCGTTTTCGGGATGACTTTTGGCAGACGCGCGACGGAAGTTTGCGTCTCCTGAGCGGGGACGAGCGGCGTCAGGCGTAGAAGATGAGCTCGGGGATCTGGCCGCCCTGCACGCCGGTGCCGTTGGTGCTGTCCGAGGAGCACTGGAACTGGAAGGTGACCTTGCCGCACTGCACCTCGGTCACGCCCTCCTGGCCGAAGTAGCTGAGCTCGCTGCCGTCCAGCACCACGCTGGCCGTGTAGAAGGCGTCGGGCTCGATCTGCACCGGGTGCTCGAACCACACGGCGAAGGTGGAGCTGGAGCCGTCCGAGAAGTACTTGACGGCCCGCTGCGCCACGGCGGCGCCCTGCCGCTTCAGCTCCATCTTGGCGCCGTACTCGGCCGAGCCGCAGCTGGAGCCGTACAGGCCGAAGCCGGCCACGAAGACGCGCTTGTCCACGGCGAACTGGATGCTGTCGCAGCGGCCGCGGTAGCGCCACTGGTTGCTGCGGTAGGCGCACGACTGGAAGCGGTGGCAGCGCTGCGGCGCCAGGCCCTGCCGGGGCTTGCTGCAGAACAGCAGCTCGGGCTTGTTGGCCGCCGTGTACCACAGGAAGATGTCGTTGGTCTCGTTGGGCGTCAGCACGCCCGACTGGGCCGCCCCGTTGGCGAAGTCCTCCAGAGCCATGGCGGGGATGCGGATCAGGTAGATGGCCTGGCGGCGACACACCACACGCACC